TTCAAAACTTTGATGTAGATGGAGTCAGGGAGAGAGATGCCCCCACATACACATATATCAAGACTTTTTATCCTCAGTATGTTTTTTGATATTTATCCATGTTGTCATGTGCATTAATATTTTCTTTATGTGATACTATTCTTTTGTATGCATATACCACAGTTGTTCTATTCTTCTATTTAGGGACTTTGGTTATTTTTGTTTTGATGCCTATGCATAAAGCTTTTATGGGTGTTCTTTTATAAGATTTTAAAAATAATATATTTCATTTCTTTTGGTTAAATATCTAAAATTAGAATTGTTGTATCATAAGGTAGGAATATATTTTATGTGAAATTGTCAAGACTTGTCACTTCATAGCCTCATTAACATTTGGTATGACACACGTTTTAGTTTAACTAATTGTTGGTGTGAAGTGGTTGTAATTTGTAAATTGAGTATTTTTTCCATTTGCTTATTAAATGTTCATTTAGCCTTTTAATGAATTTTTTACCCATTTAAGAGTGAGAAGTTCTTTACTTTTTGATTAGTATTGAATTGTATGTTAGGAGTTGTTTATTCCTGATAGAAGTCCTGTTTCAGCTATATACTGCAGATATTTTCTGTCAGTTTGTGGCTTACCTGTGTCTTTTATTTATTTTTTAATAGCTATTGAGGTATAATTGACATATATTTTTGGTATGCAGTTTAGCAAGTTTTGACATAAATATACTTCCTTGAAAATACCTGCACTGAAGATAATAAACATGTTACCACCAAAAGTTTTTGTGTTCCATTTTAATCCCTTCTATCCACCTCCATCCCTGTCTCCAGGCAACCACTGATGGGTGTTCTTTCATTACAGATTGCATTTCCTAGTTTTTATAGTTAGTATTTTCTAGGGTATTATATAAATACATCAACAGAATATTTATTTTGTCTGATTTATTTCACTACAAATGATTGAGATTCATTCCTGTTATAGTTTGTATCGATAATGCATCTTTTTTGTCTTTTTATATTGCCTACCTCAATTCTGCTATGAATGTCTCATAGTTTGTTCATTTTTATGCAATTTGATGGGCATTGGATTGTTTTCCAATTTGGGGCTGATAAAAATAAAGATGTATTGATAATGTATGTGTCTTTGTGGTCTTAATTTGCATTTTTACAATTACAATGATTATCTTATGCTTATTTGTCTTCTTAAGTGTTCTTTGGTAAAATGTCTTTTTAAATGGTTTGCCAGTTTTTAAATTTATTGTTTACTTATTGTTGGGTTTTGAGAGTTTTTATGTATGTTTGTCCTTTATCAGGTGTATGATTTACAGTTATCTCTGCTGTCCTCAGAAAAGAGTTCATATTTCTTAACATGGTTACAAATTTCGGTTCCTTCCAGCAGGAGATTAATTTTGTTCCCCTGTGTCAGGAATTTTGGCTGGCTTTGTAACTTGCTTTGACCAACAGAAAATTCAACTATAATTTCTTAGCAAGATCTCTTGGTACTCTGAGACAACTGTGGTTTGAGGAAAGCCCATCTAGCCTTCTTGAATGCAAATAAAAGCTGGCAAGGAAAGGCCCAATCCCATTCAAACCCAGCCTCTTCACACCCCAACAAAGCCTAGTTTGCCAGACAGTTCACCAGCTGAATACAGCTACATAAGTGAATCTTGGAGATACCAGAAAAAGAACTGCCTAGTGAACCCACAGTATCACGAGAAATCATAAATCACTTTTGTTTTTAAGATACCCGCTTGATTTATACATAGCCTCAGACATTCATAGATACACAGTCTGGACTTGACTGTCTTGTTTTTATGCTTCCTATGTGTCTGCCAGTCCTTCTTTTCAGAGTAAATAATAATAATAGCTAGCTTGTTATTCAAATTAGAAACTAAATCGTCATCCTTAATACCTTCCTCTCCCCTTCCTACATCCAGTCATCCATCCTACCGTTTATTTCTCCAATATATATGTTGAAACTGTCTAGTCTTCTCCAACTCCACACCATTCTAATCCAAATCTCCTTCATCTCATTTGTCTGAATTATTATAACATCATTGTAACTGGTTCTGATCTATTGACTATATATATTTTTGTGTGTTGTTAGAGTGTGACTTTCTGTTACACCTGAAGAGATCCCACTGCATTCAGAATTTGCAACCCACATAATGTGGGCACAAATTGTGTAATCTGGTGGCTACCCACCTCTTATTCTCAGCACATACCATTTTCTGCCTTGCTTGCTGGACTGCACAACCCTGACATTTTAACAGGACCTAGAATTCATTTGCATAGGCCTTCATTGCTTTTTTGCCTGGGCTAGTACTGTGTAGTAAGTTGAATATTTTACCTTCCCCTTCCACTCAAAGCAATAATGATGTATGAAACCTTAAGAATGTGGCCTTATTTGAATAATTGTTTAGCAGATATAATTAAGTGATGATCTCTAGTTAAGATCATTCTTGATTAGAATAGGCCCTAAATCAAATGAGGAGTATCTTTACTAGACATAGAAAAGGAGAAGACACAGACACAAGGAAGAAAGCTGTGAAGGTGGACGGAGAGATTGGAGTTAGGCTGCTATACATCAGGAAACCTTAGGAACCTCAGATACTGGAAAAGACGAAGAAGAATCCTTCACCACTTCCTTTGGAGGGTACATGATATTGCAGACACTTCTATTTCGGAGTGTTCTGAAATCTTTCTTTAAATTGAAGTAAAATTCATCATTTGGTTAACTATTGTAAAATATATAATTCATTGCCATCATGTTTATAAGATTGTCCAACTTTCACCTCTATCTAGTTCCCAAATGTTTTTATCATCCACAGGGAAACCTTATACTTAAGGACTTAGATAGTTTCTCCTTTCTCCCTTAACCTACCTTTTAGCAACCACCAATCTTTTATGGATAATTTTTTCTGATCTAACTGATCCTATTGTATTGACCAGTAGTAGGTCTGGGTTTTTTAATTTGCTTTCTGCATGTGGTCTTTACTTACTGATACTTCATATAAGTTGAGTCATACAGTATGTGACCTTTTTGTGTCTGCTTCTTTCCCTTAGCAAGTTTTTGAGATTCACATTATAGCACATATCAGTAATTAATTCTTTTTTATGGCTATATGATACTTTTGTACTAGAGGTACTGCATTTTTTGGGGGGGCATTTATCATTGTATGGACATTTGGGTTGTTTCTACCTTTGGGCTATTGTAATACTTTTCTGTACATGTATGTTCAAGTGTTAATTCTAATAAGTGCTTTTCACTTGTTGGTTATGTAGTAATACTTTTTAACTTTTCTGAGGGACCTTCAAACTATTTTCCATGGTGTCTGTTCCATTTTGCATTCACCAGCAATACATAAGAATTTCACTTTGTCCATATGTCTGCAGATTCTTGTTGTCCATGTGGTGGGTTGTGCCTGCCCCACTTTTCCCTCCTTCCCTCGCTTCCTGTTTCCATCTTAGTGGTTATGAAGTGGTATTTTGTTGTGGCTTTGTTTTGGATTCTCATTATGACTAATGTTAAGCAGACACTGTGCGTATTGGTCATTTATTTATTTTCATTGGAAGAAGAGCTACTCAGGTTCTTTGCCCACCTTTTAAAATGGTGGTTTCTTTTTGTTAAGTTTTAAAAGTTATGTATTCTGTATTTTAGATTAATCAAATATGTGGTTTGCAAATCTCCCATTCTTTAGGTTGTCTTTTTACTTCAGTGTCCTTTGTTACCAGAGTTTTAATATATCTTTTTAGGTATTGGAAATTGAAACTAGGGCCTTCCCACTGAATTATATTCCAGCCATTTTTCCATTTTTTATTTTGAGACAGGTTCTGGCTAAGTTGTTCACACTGGGTTTCAACTTGTGATCCTCTGGCCTTAGCCTCCCAGAATGCTGGGACTTAGGCATGTGCTACCATACCCATCTCAAAAAGTGTTCATTTTGATGAAGTTCAAGTTTTATACTTCTTGTTTCTATTTTTGCATCATATCTAAGAATTCATTGTCAAATCCAAAGCCATGAGTATTGATTATTTACCCCTTTGTTTTAGTTTTCTCTAAGAGTTTTAAAATTTACCTCCAACTTTTAGGTACTTCTTGTAAAGGATCAATTTTGGATCAATTTTGACCTATTTTGACTCTAATTTTTGGAAGTAGTAATAGGTCCACCAACTTCTTCTTTTTTTTTTTTTTTTTTATT